ACTTCATCCAGGGTATCCTCCAGAGACTCTGTTAGGTGGAGAAATGAAGGGCAAATTTACTCAGAGCATTCTACAAATAACAAAATATCATTTCACCCACCTACGACTCAGACAGAACCCTTTGAAATACGTTGGGTCAACGGCCGTTGTCTAAAAGTGGACCGTGTGCAACAAATGACAGCTATCATAGTATCGAGGAGTAAACTAGTTCAGCGTTCAATCCTTCTTAATCCATTCTGATTTTTCCAGTACTGACATCCATCACTCACCCACTCATTTCTAGGGAAACAGACAATGTCCCCCTAAAATCTTTGCATTCCTATTTTCACCCCTAGTGTTGTTCCAAAGGCTTATTGTTTTGGAGCTTTTAATAGTGGAATCCCTTCAGACATTAACTAGGACAACACCACTCTGGTCCAGAGGTGTGCTTTGCAAGTGTGTCTGCACCCATCTCACCTCCAAACCTCCTCTCCCCCGCTCCATCATAGAGTTACCCATCATCCTTTTCCCTGACTCATCAAAGAGCATAGAAGTGAATTAATTTCATTCGTTAGTTTCACTCTGCAGTCCCAGCAAGGGCAGCTCTGAGGCTGAAGAGGCTGGTTGCCCTGCCCTGCCCTGCCCTGCCCTTTCCTTCCAGTGGAGCTGGGACACAACACCAGTCATGGCAGGCCCTCCCACTCCACCTCAAGCCCCCCACAAAATCTTTCAATTAAAAAAAAAACACTTCTGTAGTATGCTGCTGTCCTGGTCTGTGACAATTCACACCATGCAAGTTTGAAGTGAAGAAAATCCAGAAATTGGATCTTCTCCTCAGATGGGAAGGAACAGTAGCAGTCAGTAAGTATTGGCGAGGAGGCTGAGGAAGAACGAGGGTCCACCACAACACCAAATGTTGCTGAGGACAATCACCATTGCACAAGAGCTAGAAACTTACAAGACAGGGACCTACAAGGAATCACAGGGGAGGGGATGTCCTATCCCACCCCCTTGGCCAGGTTCCATTCTCCTATCCTAGAATCATAGAGTTGGAAGGGACCTCTGGGGTCAGCTAGTCCAACTCCCTGCACAATGCAGGAAATTCACAAATACCTCCCCCCTCCACACCCCCAGGGACCACTGTTCCATGACCCGGAGATGACAAAAAATCTCCAGGATCGCCAGTCAAAGTGGCCTGGAGAAAAACTGCTTCCTGACCCCAAACTTATTGGAAACTTTCATTAATACCTACTGAACATGAACTAATAGCGAAGATTATGGAAAGTGTAGAAATGGACCTCGATCTTAAAATGGCAAATGGAAGAAGACTTCGTTGGACTATGGGCTCCATTTTATAATTGGATACGAGAGAAATACAAAGACATGAACTTTCTAATACTATAATATCTCACAGCCTATTTGTGAATAATATGAAATGACAAGTAGAGGAAAGTTACATGCAGAAAATCATTAGAAATGTTTCTTTCCCTGAGCGTTTCCTTTCCTTCTCCTTGCCTTACCCTTGTATATTTTAAAAACTTAATAAAATCTATTTTAAAAAAAGGAAACAGAAAACAATTCCGCACCATCCTCCCCTGCTCCTGCTTCCCACCTCTCTTCTCCCGTGTCTCGTGTTCTCTGCCATGTCCCCTGCATTCTCTCCTAGCTTCTCCCTCTCCAAGGAGGAAAAACTCCACTCTCCTCTGTTTGGATCCTACTTATCCTTCTTCCAGCTCCCCCCTGCCTCACGCCCATCTCCTTTGGGATCCTGGGAGGCTGCTTTGGCCAATATCTCATGAGATGGTTTTGAGAGATCTCATTCAGTATTCTGGGCTGACAAGGCACCCTCAAATAACAACACTGAGCCCTTCCCCCCTGCCAAATTATTGTGTGAAGTCTGCAGAAGGACTTGGTGCCCCTGCCAAAGCACTGGGTGTTTAGGTGAGACATTTGATGCTTTGGAATGAGCATTAACCAATTCGCAGTTTTCAATCAAGCGTGTATAATGTGAGGCACAGGGCCCTGGAATTGTTGCCTGGAACTGGCAACTCAAAACAGCCCCGGGTATCTTACAGGACTACCTTCCATGAGACTCAACTGGCATGTGTTCAGTTTTGGGTACCGCTATTTAAGAAGAAGAAGAGGTTGGATTTATACCCTGCCCTTCTGAGACCCAAGGGAGTCTCAGAGCGGCCTACAAACTCCTTTCCCTTCCCCTCCCCACAACAGACACCCTGTGAGGTAGGTGGGGCTGAGAGAGCTCTGACAGAAACTGCTCTTTTTCAAGAACAGCTCTGACAGGACTATGGCTTGCCCAAGGTCATCCAGCAGGTGCAAGTGGAAGAGTGGGGAATCAAACCCGGTTCTCCCAGATTAGAGTCTGCACACTTAACCACTACACCAAACTGGCTCTCTTTAAGAAGGCTATACACAAACTGGAGCATGTGCAGGGGAGGGTGACCAGGCCCGTAGTCAGGATTTTGTGGCTTGTGGAGAAATCTTTTTCAGGTGGGGCTGAAGTTCTCAGTGCAGAAAGAAAAGCCAGAATTCTGAGGATTATGACTCCACTGCTGTGGAATCAAGCCTTTTAAAATCGAAGCATAGCGTCTTCTGCAAATCTTCTCAACTTGCCTGTTCTACATAGATGTGCTTATGCTAGCAATCTCCCTTAGCCTATTAACCGTTTAGCCAAAAGAAACTGTTACCGGGATAGATCTCTAAATTGCAAGCTGCCAACCACTTTCTCAGCTGCTGCAAGTTAATCACTCCTGCCAGCCTAATCAACAATTCTGATAAAAAGCTGGCAGGTGGGGGTGATGACTTCTATAGTAAAAAAAGCTAACATTTAGACAGAAAAACTCTCTTAAAAGATACCATTTTTTGGACACAGAATTAGAAGGTATCTTAGAGGTCACCTACTCCAACCCCCTTGCTCAGTACAGGAATTATTCAACTATAGCACCCCACTCTGCTTAAAGGGGCACCACATCTTTAAAAAAATGTGTTAAAATGATTGAAAAAATACTTGTGGGGCTGTGCCCCCCAAAGCCCCACCATAGCTGAGGACAACAAAGACGGTGAGGGGTCTGGAGACCAAGTCCTATGAGGAAAGGATGAAGAAGCTCAGTATGCTTAGCCTAAAGAGGAGAAGACTGAGAGGTGGTATGATAACCATCTTCCAGTGGTTGAAGGGCTGTCATATAAAGGAGGGTGCGGAATTGTTTTCTGTTGCCCTGGAAGTTTGGACCAGAACCAATGGGTTGAAATTAAATCAAAAACTTTTTCGGCTAAACGCGAGGAAAAACATCCTGACCAAGTAGTTTCTCAGTATAACAGTCTTCCTCGGGAGGTGGGCTGTCCTTTGGAGATTTTAAAGCAGAGGCTATATGGCCATCTGACAGCAATGCTGATTTTGTGAACTTAGGCAGATCATGAGAGGGAGAGCAGGAAGGGTTGCATCGGTGATTAGTTCTCGTGGCCCTTTCTTACGGACACAAGGAAATGGACAATTTTCTCCAGGCCAGTTTGGCTAGGGATCCTGGAGGGTGGGGGTTTTTTTGGCATCTGAGCAGGGGTCACTGGTGGTGTGTGTGGGGGAGGTAGTTGTGAATTTCCTGTGTTGTGCAGGGGGTTGGACTAGATGATCCTGGAGGTCCCTTCCAACCCTATGATTCTGCTCTATGATGCTTTCAAACAAGGGTTAAGTTCTGTGAATTCCACACCACTGTCTAGGAGGTGATGTGAAAAACCTTTACCAATCACACTGGAAAGCCACTGCCAGTCAACAATAGCACCCATGTTTAGAGCCCACATTGACAGGAATCATGAAAAAGAAGTTTACTTCTAAACAGGGAAAAGGCATTTGTGAAAAGACTCCCAGATTTTGTCTTAACTGGGTATCTTAACCAACCAGAAGGAGAAAGCCAGACCCTCTTTGATAAGGAAGAGACCTTACTAGCAAAATCCCAGAAGCTGATCAGCCTCAGCTTTGCAGTCAACCCCACCACAGTACCTTGACATTTGGCCAGAGCGTCTTCCAAGGCACAAGTTTCCTGAGAGTAAGTGCTGAGAGCCTCCTCCAGCTCCAGAGGGGGTCCCAGCAGCTTTTTCTCTGGCTTCTTCACATATCTGGAGAGAAAAATAGAGAGGATTCCCAAAGGCACAAAGAACCTTGTGCCGCTTCCAAGCACGGGGCCTGAATGGGCCTCTATTCAAAAGCACAACCAGTCACCAAGAGGCCCCTTGGCTCTTCTTTCAAGGCTGGAGCTCTTCCAGTCAGTTTCAATCTTGCATGGAGGAAACTCTCCACTGGACAGTTTTTGCCATAAGAGTGAAATTGACTGAAGGAGAGGGAAAGATTCAGGCAGCTTCGCCCTCCTCACATGTAATTCCTTGGATAGTCTTGATAGGATAAGGAGGGCCCAAGCCAAGAAACTACAAGGCGGAGTGGGACAGAGACCACCTCCAGCACCAAGCACAGGACTGTGACCAAAAGGTGGTTCAAGACCCGGGTCCTCTCCTCAGAACCTGGAAGACGTCAGATCCCAAGGAGGGAGAAAAGATCACACAAGAAATATTTCAGGATTCTTCACTTTGTCCACTGGAAGGAGACTTTCAAAAGTGCTGAGGGCACCTCAAAGAGCTTTATGGGACTATTCTGATAAAACATCTTTTTAAAAAAGGAGTTTTAAAAAAGGACTTCAGTTATTCTACAGTAGATGAGACAGAAAAGGGGCGTGAGAAAGAGTCAACTTGACTCAAGCGGAAGGAAAGGTTCAGGCAGCTTTCCCCTCAGTCTCTCCTCACATTTAATTCCTTTGATAGTCTTGATAGGATAAAGAGGGCCAAGCTGAAAATCCATGAAGAGCAGTGGGACAGGGCCCATCTTCAGAAGGAACTTCCACTTAACGTGTTGTCGAAGGCTTTCAAGGCTGGAGTTCATTCGCTGTTGTAGGTTTTCCGAGCTGTATGGCCGTGGTCTTGGCATTGTAGGACCTGACGTTTTGCCAGCAGCTGTGACTGCAATCCTGCTGTGACTGGCATCCTCAGAGGTATAACACAGAAAGATGACACAGAGAGTACTCCATCTTTCTGTGTTATACTTCTGAGGATGCCAGTCACAGCTGCTGGCGAAACGTCAGGTCCTACAATGCCAAGACCACGGCCATACAGCCCGGAAAATCTACAACAGCTAATTACACTTCACAACTTCTTTTCCTTTCACTGGTGTGGCTGGAAGGGTGCCAAAAAACCCCATAGGTTGTTTCTCAAGCTCACTAAAATTGGCACATCTGGTTTTTTTTGGGGGGGGGGAGAGATCTGCTCATGGCTACAACATCCCTTGGAGACAGCCCTGTGATTGGTTAGGGAAGGTCAGTATAGTCTATGAGTATAGTCTATGAAGGGATGGTATATCTTCCCTTTTTTCACTTCTTGTTTTCTTCCCCTTAACCCCGATCCATGTTGTCTATTTACTTCTGCTGTATGCTCTGGGACACCGTTGCTTTTAGTTATGAGAAGCCAACATTTACGCAGCAGAAATGAATAAGTGAATGCAGCTTTCTTTTTTTCCCCTGTCTACTATTGGTATTACTTTTAAAACCTTTTAACATCTATGAATAAAACTTTATTTTGCTTTATGGTGTGTGCTGCTGAATAGTCTTCTGACAACCAACCCAGTTTGAACTCTGTGGCGCTCCCAAAGAGAGGGTCTCAGGATGAGGCAGGGGAGTGAAATCCTCAGCCCAAAGCAGGTCAGCCTGGACACCACCATGCAGCACATTTCAGTAATGTGTATTTATTTCTTCGCTAAAATCTCACATTTAACCCCTGTCACATTCCCTTTTAAAAGCGTCTCAGCCAGGAGGGGGCTGGGAAAAGACCCCACCCAAGAACTGGGAAAGTCACTGCTAGTCCAAGATGGCTACTCGCCCATTGTCTAGGCTTAGTATTGAACAGCTCACCCCTTCAGTCACCTTCTCCACCAGGAGCAGTGTTTGCACCACCCAGACCAGACACAGGACTGTGACCAAGGGGAGGTTCAGGACCCCATTCCTCTCTCCTCAGAACTGGGAGGATGTCAGATCCCAAGGAGGGGGGAAAGATCCTACGGTGCTCAGGAAATATTTCAGGATCTTTCACTTTCTCCAATGAAAGAAAGCTTTTAAAAGTACTGATGGCATTTCAAAATATTTTATAGGACGTTTCTGTCAAAACATCTTTTTTAAAAAGGGACTGAAGTTATTCGACAGATGAGACAGGAAGGGGACTGATAAAAGAAAGTAACGTACCTGCTGAGGATAGTTTTGGGATCCTGAAAAAGAAAGGGAAAGAAGTGGGTCTCATCTATGCAGACAGAAAACTCACTGGATTAACTTGCTATTTTACAGTGGAATGGTTATGTTCTCCCCCACCCTAACAAGAACCAACTGACATTCTTAACATTCGTCTTTCTTTATTCTTATTCTGAGCATTTTCTGCCTTTCCTGACAAGATTTTTATTTCTCACCTGTAAAAATTCATTTTCTGACTGCTGGAACTTTCCCCCCATCTCTGTGATCAGGCCACTTAGATAGGAAACCTCCTCTGAGAATCTGGTGTGGGTTTTATTGTCCCTCTTTGCCATCTCCTTCTCCATCTCTTCCAGCAGGGATAGCCTGAGGTGCTCTTCCTTCTCAAGGTAAGTGTGCAACTGCTGAAAGGCTGACTTGGTCTTCTTTTTCTCCGCTTCTAACTGTGTCTGCAGGAAACACACAGAAATTCGGAAAGGGGCAAGTCGTCTCCAGAAGGCAAATCAGGTGCAGCCCCAAGATCGCAGTCATAATATGACAGAGAATCAAGCTGATGACTTTTTGGCACTAAGGACAGGATTCTTAATAGTAATCTGTGAAGGCTGGGGTCTTAACTGAGGTTGAAACAGAGGCTGAGTGATGTGAAGCTTGACTGGTGTGGTCTCTACCTCAGACCCCCACCTAACAAACTTAAGCTAAGTGGCTTCTGAATGTAGCAAGTTCAGCACTCATGAGGGAGACCAGAGAAGAACAGTAAATTTGATTTATTCTAAGGGAATAAAGGGGTTCAGAAAAAAGGATAAATTATCTACAAGTGTAACACAGCGTTGCTGGTAGGGGTGTGCATTCAGTAAAGTCAAACTTCCCTGAGCTGATTCCAATGAGCTTCCCTGAGCTGATTCCGATGCCAAAAAATGAATGGCGCAAAACTCCAAAAAATTTCGGTATTCCCGAAAACATTCGGATACATTATGTTCTATGGGGCCATTGTAGTCAATGGCAAAAATCTTTTAGCAAGTATTCAAGGGGCTGGGGGGGAGGGGGTTTGAAGTAGGGGCACCAAATTCGGACTGTAGCTGCTGGAGCCTCTTCTCAAAAGAACCCCCAAGTTTGGAAAACATTGGACCAGGGGGTCCAATTCTAGGGGCATCCAAAGAGGGTGCCCCCAATCCTCCCTTGTTTCCTATGGAAAAAGGGCAGGCAGCAGTGTCTCCCCTCTACTCTCTCTGCAGGAAAGTGAGTTGTGGTGGTGTGAGGGGGCATGTTTGTCAGGCCAGCAGCAGCAGAACCAGTGCAGTGTGCCCCCCCAGAACCAGTGCCACTGTAGCAGGCAGGGCAGAAGGCATTTTTCCACACCATGTATTCGAGTTCTCCAATAATAATTTACTACCTATACAAAAGGTATACTTTGCTGTCCTGCATTGGGGGCGGGATTGAATAGTCTTCAATACAAGTGATAGTGGGGGGGAATAACATGGAATAAGCATGTGTGGTGTGTTGTTTACTGTCTGACTACGCTCTGGGAGACCCAGGTCTGAATCCCCACTCTCCCACAGATGCTTGCTAGGTGACACTGGGCCAGTTACACAGGGCTGTTGTGAGGATAAAATGGAGTCCCTCTTGCAGAGGAAGACAGGATATCAGTGAAGTAAATTAAGAAATAGATATGCCCTTCCCTTTGGCCACATACACCAAATACTGGGTGATAGATGTGCTTATTCCCTCAGATGGTACATATAGCTGTCCCAGGAATTCTTAAGTGTCCCAGGAAGTGTCCTAAGACGTAATGAGTCATGGTTTGGCATGAGTAGAAGATTGCTCTCTAACTTTGTAAAGCCTGCCCCCTTTCCAGGCACCTTATCTGAAGATTTTTTTCAACACCGAGCAAAGATTTCAAACAACGTTTAATTAAGCATTTCATTAGCCTCCATCTGCTGCATTATGATTTACTTGGTTTTTAGTCACGGTTTGTCTTATTGCATTATTGGTTATATGTCATATTATATTTTGGTAACTGTATACCTCTTGGAGAGGAAGGTATCATGATATAGCCAAACTTTGTCAGATCTTGGAAGCAAAGCAGGGTTGGTACTCGGATGGGAGACCACCCAGGAAGATTCTGCCGAGGAATCTATGGCGAATTACCTCTGCTTCTCACATGCTTTGAGAGCCCCTTCCTGGGGTCACCATAAGTTGGTTGCAAATTGACAGCACATGTACATACATATACCTCTTGGACAGTATTGGTGGAGAGGCAGCATATAGATATTTATATAAATCAAGACTGCCGCTCCCAAACTGTCTTTTTTGCCTTCCATGCACAGGACCTAGGCAACACCTACTTATTCTCTCTGTTATGAAACACATTTCATTTTTAAAAAATGATAAATGCACCTTGGCAGTTGCATAGAGTAGGCATATATGGGTGTATTGGTTTGCCCATCCTGTTCCCTAATACAAAGCAAAAACCAGGGTATGCCTTGTTAAGTTGCAGTCTGCTTTTTTGGTAGCCAGTAACAGATTTAAGCTGCTTTGGCTATTAATGTTTTATGGATTACATCTCCTTTATTTTGGGGGGTAAACTATCGGGATGTCCTTGTGACTAACTAATAAACAGTGTTGATTTGTATTGGTCACTGCTCAATGCAGCTAATATAAAGGGATTGTTCTGTATGCATTTACTATCTTCTAACAGAATCAAGACAGCAATGAACACTTATGGCCAAGATTTCTGTTGTCTCATGGCCTGAAGACTCAAGGACTTTTTCAGTCAAGGCCCAACCACAACACGTGTGGTTTTATACCTACCAAAAAATTTTGGCTTCTCTGATCATCACCCCTTTTTTGTTCCTGAAGCTTTCTCCTCTCTTGCTCCAGAGACTGCAGCTCAGCCTGGATCTCTATCTGCAGAAACAGGAAAAGCCAGTGATCTGGGGGAGTTCAGCCCCCCAACAACTATTAAGGACTTGATTACAAAGTAGCAAGTGGGAACCCGTAAGGACTCGGGGGAGGCATCTTTTTTCCCAATCCCCCACAAGGTGAGGCCTGGAAATCTTCCAAAATTACAACTGAACTCCAGGTGACAGTTGTTCCCCCCAGAGAAAATGGCTGCTTTGGAGGGTGGTCTGTTTGGCATTATATCCAGCTGAAGCCTCTCTCTTCCCCAAACTCTGCTCCCTTCAGACTCTACCACAAAATATCTAGCAATTTCCCAATCTGGCCCCAATCAGTCCTCCCTCAAAAGACAAAAGAGGACTGAAAAGGGCCCTGCCCCCTCCTCCTGCCTTTTTACTGACAGAACCAAGCCTGAAACCTGTGGTTGCCTAGCAACAGTCACTAAGGGAATCCGTTTGTTAAAGCTACAGATGCTCCTTTTTATCATTTTAGTTTTTTTCAAAGCCCCCCCCAATATATATATATTTTTAGATTTCACATTTTTCTGCAAACCTTGGACATTTTTAAGTTTGTAGAAAGCTCTGTCTTTTCCATTCAAAGCTTCAGTCACTGGAGTTAAGCATCCCCAAGTTTGGCTGACTTGGCTATTAGAATATACAAACGAGAGCCCCCACACGGACTTGCATGAGGCATATCGTTTCCCCCTCCACCACTATTTCCTCTGTCCCTTCTTTGAAAGCCCCCTTTCTTGCTTCTTTCTGTTTCTGCCAAGAAGCCAACCTACCTTATTGGTCCCTCTGTCTTCAGCTTCCCCCCACCTGTGGTCCAGTTGTTTGGTGCCAGCCAACGGGCCACTTGCATGGTAGGAAACCTTCAAGGACTTGTGGGGGGCACCTTACTTTTCCCTTATTCCGCTCCCCACATTATTTCCTTTCCCTCCTCCTGGCAACCCCCATACTCTCTGCCTCATCTTCTTCTCAACCATTCACCAATCTACTTTTTATCTAACTCCCATCTTCAACTATATTTACTATTATTTTCTATTTATTCACATCATTTATACTCCACCTTTCTCCACATTATTCTCCTCTCCTTTTTATCCTCACAACAACCCTGTGAGGTAGGTTAGGCTGAAAGAATATGATTGGCCCAAAATCACCCAATTAGCTTGCACAGCGAGATGGGGATTCAAACCTGGGTCTCCCAGACCCTATTTGGATGCTCTAACTGCTACACCAACACTGGCTTTCATAGGGAAAGGATCCTGCCCTCTCCCCCTGCCTTTTTAATTACAAAAAACCTCCCTGGAAGGCTGAGTTTACATAGCAACAGCCACTGAGGCTTCCATTTCTTAAAGCTACAGGTGCTCCTTGTTATCACTTTGGGATTTTTAAACCTCCCAATGATTTTTTTTTTTTTGAGAGTTCAGATTTTTCTGCAAACCTGCATCCATTTTCAGACTTGTAGAAAGATCTGCCTTGCCCATTTACAACTCCAGTCGCTGTATTTAAGAAGCCTCAGATTTGGCCAACTTCACTATTAGATATATACCTAAAGGCTGATTGGATAATGAATGGATCAGAGATCTTTTACAATTCCTTTACATTTTTGATGTCCAAGATCTCACAAGACCCCCTTTGTGAAACCTCAGCACTGTTTTAGATTGCCAAGGCAACCCCACAGAACAGAATAAGGCTTAAGCTTTGCACAGTGCGCGCCAGGGAATCTGGAACAGGGTGGCTGCTGTTGAACAGTAGCAAGCAGCTAGGCCTAGCTGAGTCCTTCAAATCAAGTGGTATCCAGTCAACCAGTGGTTGCCGTGAGGCCTAGGGAGCCAACCTCAAAGTGGAGAACTCCTAGAATTACAACTGATCTCCAGACTGATCTGTCCCCCTGGAGAAAATGACTGCTTTAGAGAGTGAACTCTTATGGCATTATATCCTGCTTAGATCCCCCCCTCCCCAGGGTCTACCCCAAAATCTCCAGGAATTCCCCAACCTAAAGCCAGCAACCCTTCTCAGGCCTAGCCCCAATAAGTCTGCCCTCAAAGGCCAAAATAACCCTGGAAAAGATCCTGCCCTCTCCTCCTGCCTTTTTAATTACAGAAAACCTAGCAACAGCCACTGAGGCTTCCATTTCTTAAAGCTACAGGTGCTCCTTTTATCATTCTGGGATTCTTAAATCCCCAATGTATTTTTTTGAGAGTTCAGATTTTTCTGGAAACCTGCAGCCCGTTTTAGATTTGTAGAAAGATCTGCCTTGCCCATTTACAGCTCCAGTCGCTGTATTTAAGTAGCCCCAGATCTAGACCAGGCCTCACCTGTCTCCCCCCGCTCCTCCCCCCCGGCTCTGGAAGCAAGGCCTGAGTGGCTTGCAGCTGCCAGGCCTCACGGGTCTCCCTGCCCCGGTCTCCTCCCCCCGGCTCTGGAAGCAAGGCCTGAGCGGCTTGCAGCCGCCGGGCCTCGCAGATCTCCCCCCCCCTTCTCCCACACCCCTGGCGGCGAGGCAAGAGTTCTCTGCCACACCCCCGGCAGAGAGGCCAGAGCAGCCGCCAGGCCTCGCCGATCTCCTTCCCCTTCCCCCTGGCTCTGACGGTCTCCTCCTCCACCATCGATCTCACGGCTTCCAACCGCCAGCCCGCCACAGAGTTCCCAGAGTGTTCCCTGCGCATGCGCAGGGAAGGCTCTTTTACTTTTGGGGGGATTTTAATATCCCCCCCGTATTTTTTCCAACTTTTTAGATTTTTGTGCACACCTGGGGACTGCGCCAAGTGTGCAGGAAAATCTCCCTGCCCCCCAGGTACCCCTGATGTGCGGATTTAGATATCCGCACGCAGGGGGCGCCTTCGCTATTAGTATATAGTTAAAATGGCTGATCGGATACTGAATGGATCAGAGAGCTTTTACTACTACATGACTTTTTCCTGATTGACTCTGATGTCTAAGATCTCACCTTGTGAGACCTCAGCACTGTTTTGGATTGCCAAGGCAACCCCAGAAAACAGAGGAAGGCTTATGCTTTGCATAGAGGGTGCCAGGGCATCTGGAAATGGGTTCTGAGATTGGGAACCCATGTGAGATGGCGGGGGGGGGACACAGCAGGGCAGAGAGAGAAACAGGAGACAGAGGAGAGGGGGAAACAAGGCAGAGTCAACAAGGAATGGGACAAAGAGCAGCAAAGACAGGTGGGGTTAATCTGGTCCTGAAACTTCCCAAATCGGCCTGTGTGAGGGTCTCCATCTTTGAACGAAAAATAATTCTTAGTGAATGGATCCTCCTCAAGTCAAAATCTGCCAGGTCCAAAGACGTGCAGTAATTGTTGACATTAATGGATTTTTAATTTAACATAATTCAGCAACAGAAAGAACACATTATAGGACTATTATCTGCTTTAACCTCAGAAACAAGTGGAAAGGAACTGGTCGGGCGGTGGGAAGACACAAGGAAGCAAACCAACTTCTTTCTCGTTTCTACTTGTATTCTATTTCTAAATTTGGTCAGTCTACATTCAGATGACCAGACAGAGAAACTGGATTACATAGCAGGGTGAGAGAATATCTCCAGACATGCCAGCGGGGTGTGTGTGTGTGTGTGTAAAAAAGGGTAGAGAGGTGGGAGAGGATCACTGTTCCCTCCAAGTTGAATTAGTATGAGCTAACTCACAATGTTTTTAGCCTCCAGCTCACACATTCTTGTCTTAGCTCAGGAAGGATGGCTCCAGGGCAAACTAATTTACGCAGCAGCCAAATCACCTGCTCATAACTTTAATGCCAGTAGCTCACAAAACAGAATTTTTGCTCACAGGACTCCACAGCTTAGAGAGAGAATCGGAACAGATTACCTGGTGTCTGAAGCATGGAGTATCCGCAAGCACGCTTGTGAAAGCACATAGGTGGTTTTACTCCTTCACCCCTGTAGCCCTGTCACGTGCTCGTTTTGCAAGGCACACTGGATTGGGGTGACTTGGAGTTGGGGACCGGCTTTCCTCATCAGTCTACTTAAAAGCCAAGTAATATTAAGATAGGAGAGGAGGCCACTATCTTGTGTAATCGCCTTGAGTCCCAGTGAGAGAGGTGGATTATAAATGACATAAATAAATAAATCGTAATTCCATTCATTCCTCCCCAAACATAATTGGTCTAAAGTATCATCATTATGGATCCAGATACCCCAATCCAGTGTAATGTTTTCTTACCTTATACTCGAGGAAGGCCTCCTCCATTGGAAGCACTCTGTGGTTTCGATGCTCCATGGATCGGTCACACACCATGCAGATGGGAGCTTGGTCACTAACGCAGAAGAGCTTCAGGGGCTCCCGGTGCCTCTCGCACCCTCCTCGCCCCCCCTCCGCTCCTTTTCCCACCTGAAGTTCCCTGACAAGTTCCACAAGGTTCGCCAGCTGCCGGTTTGGCCTGAAGTTCTTCTGCTGGAAAACTCGGCACTGCGGGCAGGAAGGGCCTGTGACAGACTTTCCCCAGTACTGAGTGAGGCAGGCTTGGCAGAAATTGTGCCCACAATCAATGGTCACTGGGTCTTTGAAGTATTCCAGGCAGATTGAACAAGTTGTTTCCTCACAGAACTTCTTGACAAGACTTCCAGTTGCCATTATGTATTCTCTCTTCCTGAAATGTTAAAAACAACCTCCATTTTTAAAAATTTCAAACATTGCCCGGGGGGGGGGGGTTGATTGCCTGACTTTGCCTCACAAGTATGGGATTTTGGGGGGAAGAGGAAGAGGAATGATCTTCACCAAGCAGGGCTCTATGGCTTCACAAAATGAATTAGGAACTGCCACTCGTAGTGATTAAGAGCAGCGGACTCCAATCCGGAGAACCAGGTTTGATTCCTCCTTCTCCACATGAAACCCGCTGGGTTTCCTTGGGCCAGTCACAGTTCTCTCAGAACTCTCTCAGCCCCACCTGCCTCACAGGGCGTCTGTTGTGGGGAGAGGCAGGGAAGGCAAAACCAACTCTTCCTCCTCCTCCTCCTCCTGGCTAAGAACGTGTGCATGGCCAAAGGTCACCGAACCAGCTTCCGTGGCAGGGTGGGGATTTGAACCTCTGTTTCCCAGCTCCCACTCTCTAATCACTACACCACACTATTGTTAAATACTATTAATCTGCAGTATTGGTCACATTGGCATACTGCTTTTGGGAAGGTGGTGACATTATTTAAGATTTAGAGCAGAAAGAAATATTTATCTTTTTGAATAGCCGGAGATGTCAGGACAAAAAGCAATGGGTGGCTGCTTTTTAAAATCCAGTTGGGGATGCACTAGTTGAATATCAGGATAAAAACCTTGAACTTAAGTGTTCTCTGACGAAGCCTGGGATGTATACCCAAGAATTGTAAGAGATACTATGAACAGCAAATTTTGATGGTTTTAAGTTGATCTTTTGAGGTTTCTTGATATCAAGAAAGAGGTATGTTGATGTCATTTGAGGATCTGTTACGACCCCGCCCTTCCGCCTCTGTGCTAACACTAGAGATGTGAAGGCCCAGAAAAAAACCGAAAAAAATTGGGGGAAAACCAGGGTTTTTTCCGTTTTTTTCCTGAAGCCTTTTTTGTTTTTTTCCAAAAAATTGGAAAAATTGAAAAAATAAAATAAAATAAATTGACTATGGAACGTTTTATTTTAACATGATGAATAAAATATTTTAAGACAAGGTGTTCAAATATTTTCCAAATCATTTCTAAAATATATAATTATGGTATGAGATTGATCTAATTCCTGTGCACTGAGGACAAGCAAGTCCTAGGTTACAAACTGAACTCTCCAATGCAAGAACAAGATGCATTTCTTCCTTTAGGAGGTGCTATTGTCAGAAGAAAATAAAAAGGTTTCAGTTTTGTTTTTGCATGTGGGTGGGTATTCTGTTTGTAATAATTGTTTGGATACACTATATTTTTAATATGCTAGTTGTGATAATTTCATGCCAAGTAAAAATGTCCATAGTCATATTTTATGTTCCTAAAGTAACAGAATGACTTTCAATCTAGAAAAGACAAAAGAAATGCTAATGTAGCATTTTTTTCAATTTTTCCAAAAATTTCCGTTTCCCCCTGAAAAAAACCGGGGAAAAAACAGGTTTTTTCCCGAGCTTCAAAATTTCCGGAATTTTTACATCTCTAGCTAACACCCACTCTCCGGGCTGCCTCAGAGACTCCAGGCTATGTTTTCTTAACTCGGGGTCATTTCAACCAGCACAATAGTGATAAGAGAGGAAGTAGCTGTTTATAATTCTTATACTCTAATTGGCACCGAAGGCATGATACATGGGTCAGTGACTCAAGCCAATTAAAATAGATAAATTTATTACAAAGAAAATAAAAGAGTAAAACAAGCTAATAGGAAGAAAGGGAGTGTACAGAGGACAAACATAAACAAACAAAACCTGACTATCTAAGTTTTTCCCGGGGGGGGGGGGGGGTTTTTCCCCGGCGTTAAAAATTT